AGGTCTCTCGACCCTGCCTTTGTGGGCCAGTGGGCTGGAACTGGAGCCAGTTCTCTGTGTGTTCCAGGGGCGTGACCGAGAAGCCTGGAATCGTTGGTGGGAGGGTCAAGGCCAAGAGAAGTTTCAAGAAGTGATGGCAAAGGCTCAAGTCTCCACTCCCTTTATGAAAGATCGCAAGCAAGGAGTGTGTGGGAAAGATGACCCAGGCATGCAGTTGATCAACACTTTAATTAGATCTGAGGGGTTGGGTCGCCTCGTGAGCCTCTGTTCACGTGTCCTGAAACGTCTGCCTCTGAGCTGGCCTCTGACAGACTCCTGAGCACTCTCCTCCACACCCTCTTGAGGCTCTGCTTGAGGGCAGCCTGCCTAGCGACCGCTCCAGGGCTGAGCCAGCAGGACCACCGGGCGGGCCTCAGAGCTGCAGGTACCAGCCAAGTGCTCCCCCTCTCCAGAGGTGGCAACTAGTTAGATGCTGTTGGGTGTGCTGAACCAGGCCAAGGCAATGGACTCTTCCAGAAAGGCTTTCTGCCTTTGGCTGATCTGAACCGTCCTTGTTCACATTCTTTCTTGGTCTGGGTGGAATTCACCACTGGTATGCTCCCCCTTGTTTGGGAGTGGGGGAGGAGCCCAACTGTATGGGCGTCTCCAGGGCCCTTCTCAGCTGTTGGGTTAGGAGCGAGTACCACAAATTCTGAAGACAGGGCAAGGTTCAAGGTTGTCTTCCACGCCGCAAACCTCCTTCTCCCCTTTGGAGCCTCCTTTCCTTAATGTGACTAGTCAGATGCTGTGCTGCTCCTGCCAAAGCCGATTTCTGGGCAACATTATGAATCTGAGTCATTAGCACCAGAGTGTAAATAAGTTTACATGAGTCAATTGGTGTTTTTGTATCTTAATTTGGGACTAAACTGCTCTCTATTGTTAGGGCATCTGGGCAGGTATAGGAGGAATTTGGAGTTTGGGGAAGGTTCTTTACCTCTAAAATAATACCGAAGCTATGACTAGGAACTCAGGCGATAGTCCCAGGTCATAAATAAGAGTTTTTAAAAAATGCATGTAGCCCCTTTTGCACTCTATCAGAATATCGGATGCTTTTAGACGTGCTGGATAAGCTTAAACATAATTCTGAGTCGTTGGTAAGAGGATTCATGTTCTTTTTATAAATGTTAACGAAATTTTATGAAATGAATTTCTCTGGTATTTGAAAGAGCTTGCCGGAGACAAGCGATGGAGGTTTTTATAGGTCCTGCAGCAAGGACCCTGGGTTCATGGAGGTGATTTGCGCTTTGGGGGTCTTGGGAGGTGTGGGAGTCCTGGAGTCATTCCCCCGGTGCTGAAGCAGCTGTGGGTAGCCAAGACGGTGTGGTTAGAAGCTCTAAGTGTCTCCTGAGTTATGAGAGTCGTTTGCTAATGCGATGTCAGGATCAGGCTGCTTCAGGCCTGAAGTCTGTAATCTCTGTGATACAATAAGAAATAGATATTTGGTGTTTGTCTCAGGTTCCTGCCACAGAGCTTCTGGAACCCTAGGAATTTCCTGAGTAATGGGAGTGTCTTTTGTTATTCATAACAAGCCTCTTTTAACCACACCTGAGTTTATGCTAATAGGTGACTCTGGGCCCCTGCGTAGCTTTGCGACGGGGCTGGTTGCCGGAGGAACCAACCAGGTGATCAGAGATTTGGACCTTTCAGCCCCACCCCAGGCCTCTGGGAGCGGAGAGGGGCTGAAGATGGAGTTAATCTCCAACGGCCAGTGTTTAGTCAGCAGTGCCTCGTAATGAAGCCTCCATTAAAACTCCATAAAAACTCCTAAGTGATGGGGTTCTGAGAACTTCTGGGTCAGTGAACAGCTGAGGTGCTGGAGGGTGGGGAACCCTGAGGGCATGGAAGCCCCACGCACCTCAAACCAGCCCCTCCCCGCCCCAAGCTCTGCATCTCTTCCCCTTGGCTGCTGTTCCCAAATTGTGTCCTCTAAAATAAACTGGTCATAGTCGTGTTTCTCCAAGTTTTGTGAGCTGTTCTAACAAATTATCGAACCTGAGGAGGGGATCGTGGGGACCCCCAATTTATAGCCAGTTGGTCAGAAGGACAAGCAGCCTGGGACTTGTGACCAGCCTGTGAAGCCAGAGCAGTCTTGTGGACAGAGCCCTTGACCTGTGGGGTCTGTCTGCGCGAGCTCCAGGTAGTTGGTGTCAGAACTGGTTACTGGTGTGCAAAAAAGCCAGTGTTGGTGTCAGGAGCTTTGTGAATAAAAAAATCTCTCATCCCTCAACCAAAGGGCAAGTTTATCTCCAGACACAAGGGAGTGGACCACGGTGTGGGAGACGGTGCCTCGTTCTGTGCCTTCCAGTGGTTAGTAATGACCTCAGACCAGGGAAAAGGGGGGCAAAATGCTAAGAGCCATCCTTCCCACGCCCAGGAAAGTAGCATCCCGATGGTAGCCATGATCTTCCAAGGAGGCTCCGATTAACTTCGTGAAACCCTGTGAGGTGGGACCCGCATCCTCAGTGGGGAAGTCCACCGGGACCTGCAGCCTGTTTCCTGGGGCGCATTACCTGCCTGGTGGTGGCTCAGGCTTTTTGGAAAACCAGCTTGCATCCTCGGCAGCTGGGCCCAGCTCACCCCGTGACCTGGGAGCTTGGCATCAGTGGAGCGTGCTCTGAGGGTCGGGCGGAGGAGGCCTCCCGCGCATGTGTGGCCACAGCCTCCCCAGAGGGGCCAGCAAGTCTCGAGCCCGTTTCTGCCTGTTGAGGCCTGTCATGCCAGGACGCCACTTTGGACTGCAGACCTCGTTTTCCAACTGGCCAGGCCTCAGAGAGGGCTGGTTTCCACCGTTGGTGCATGGGCCCGGCCGGAGCCCGGGTGAGGCAACTCCGAACCTGTTGCTGGGGTCGCTCTCTGCCCTCGTCCACCTGTGCGGATCTCACCCTAGTCTGAAGCGTGCACACGGCCCGGCGGTGGGGGGCTGCTCTTGAGGACTTGAGGGGTATGGGTCGTCTTCCTCTCAGTTTATTTCTCCCAGGAACGACAAGGCCCTCCGCTGACCGCAGTGAAATGAGAGAAGTCGGGGAGAGAAGCTTCTCTGGGCTTACTCCCTGCGCCCCCCCCCCTTCCTGGTGCCCTTTCCTCCTTGGGTCCCTTCAGAGACTTTACCCTCACTTTGCAGGCCTGGCCCAGCTCCGTTGCCACCGTCTCTCACCCTCTCCCTCCCCCAGGCAGCATTAATTTTCCCTTCCTTAGGTCCCATGGCATCTTTCCGAATTCATCACAGGGCTGCCTTTTTTGTTGAGGCCCCATTCATGATCTGTGAGTTTTGCCCATTACATGTGTGCCGAACGCATACGGTCACGTAACCACCACCATGAGCAAGGCACGGAATGGAACTGCCTCTCCCAGTTTCTGGAGACTCTCAGAGTCAAGCCCTCCCCTTCACCCCCAGGCCCTGGCAACTACCCAGGGGATCTCTCTTCCCACGTCTTGCCTTGGCAAGACTAGCCTGCAAACGGAGCCGTCAAGTATATAGCCTTTCAGGCCGGCCGCCCCCGCTCTGCAGAGAGCATTTCTTGCATGTATCCGCGGCCCAGCCCTTTTTGCGGCTGAGTGCCCATCACTCTTTATTCATATCTCTGTAGGGACCTCTCCTGCCGTGTCCAGATATCTGGATATTTTTCTGTCTTTCTCCTTGGCGCACAGCTCAGCTCCTCCAGGGCTGGACGGTGCCTTGCACGCCTCTGTGGCCCCAGCCTGCACATAGGAGGCGCTTGACAGCGTGGTTCTGGGGCAGCTGTGCATTGACAGCGAGGACCCTCTACCTCTCCGGAAGGGGCAGAGCGTCCTCCGGGGGCCGCAGAGCCCCTGCAGATGTCTCTGTGGGGTCCTGGCTGGTCCCTGCTGAGGCTCTGTGCTTAGGTGACCTGGAGAGACGCCCAGGGATGGGCCGGCTGGCTTCTCGAAAACCACTCCCACCCTCGGTTTGGTGCCTGTGATGGGCAGGGTGCTGTCCCTTGTGAGGGGCCTTTGGAAGGCCCTCTGTGGATCCCCTGCATCTCTTGGACTCCATGTCAGGAATCACTGGGAGCGTGGTATCGGTGTGTGCCTGTCATTCCCCCTAAGCCAGAGAAGCCCTCTTTGGGCCTTGTTTGCACCGAGTCATTGCTGTGCTGGTTTTGTTAGTTAAAAATAGGCCTTGGCATATCTGCCCAGTGACAGGCCCTTCTCACTTCTGGCCCACGCTGGAATGCTTATGTAAATATTTGGAGGAACTTGACACCGGGGACCATTTCTATCCCAGAGTCTTCTCTCCTGTGGACTCTTGGAGCAGGAAGGGTGATATGGCTGTGAGAAAGTGAGGGCCAGCACATGTTAGAAACACTCGGGGGGGGGCGGCACATTATTTGGGAGACGCTGGAGGGGGCGGTTCCTAGAAGCCAGGGGAAGTGGTTGGTCATTTGCAGTAGTGACGGATCTATATCAGCTACAAGATCCACAGGGTTTGAATCAGACTGACCAGGGTTCAAACCACGATTCTACTCCTTACTGGCCCATGGCCTTAGACAAGTCATGGGACTTCTAGAACAGCAGGTTCTCCTTTGCACTTTACCTACCACACTAGGGTGATTGTGAGATTAAAATGATCGCATGTGTCAAGCACCTAACAGGGCCCAGCACACAGTAAGCCCTCATTTCGTGGTGGCCGCCCAGTAGCCACCTTAGTCTTCCTGTCGGCTTTTGCCAGCAAGCATTGCTCAACCTCTCAGTGGACATCTGAGGAAAGAATTGGAGGTTCTAAAGGAGGGACACAAGAGCGTCCCAGTGCATATCCAGACTTCTTCCCAGTGCCACTCATGTCTCCTCACCTCCATTGGTCTTCAGCCACTACTGTGTCCTTAGATCACTTCAGCAGCTGCCCGAGCAGGGCCGGTAACTCAGGACTCACCAGCTACAAGAGGACCGTAACCAAGCTTAAAATAGAGACGTGTCCCTAGACTGGACCTGAGGGCTGCGCCGGCCCCCAGTGCAGGCCAGGCGGTGTCTGCACAGCCAGGCTGAGCTGGACTTTGGGCAGCTGGAGCTGCTGAGCCTCTACGAGGGAGCTGCTTCCCCCACCAGGCAAGGCCGGCTTTCCTTGATCCCGAAGCCCCAAGGGTCCTCAGCCTCCCGCCTCCCCCGCCACCCGGCCAGAGGTTACTGACTGTTCCTCGGAGGAAGCAAGCTGGGGGAGAACATGGGGCCAGGCGTGGGGGAGACAGGGGTCTGGTGGTAGCCAGCGTCCGTCGGCTCAGCGGGCCCTCTGTGGGCTGGGCTGGGCTGGTTCTGGCCTTGGTGAACGGGGGTGAGGGGAGCACCCGGGAGGCATTTCTAAAGGTAGAAGGAGAGTGAAGCCATCCTGCCCAAGAGGGTAGAAGAGGAGGGAAGCTCAGAAGGAATGGGTCATGCTGTTCGGTTGAACTTGCTGCTTTTTAAGCCCCAGCCCAGGTCATTGTGTCTAAATATAGGCGCGTCAGAAGCCAGCCAGAGAAATGCCCACCGAGCAAGGCCCCCGCGGAAGGTCAAGCCCTGCCCATTGAGGGAAGATGCCCAGATGGGGCGACGTTGTGCCCAGGGCAGCACTCCTCTCCCGCTGTCTTCACGGGGCGTCCGTGACTGCTTCCTCCACGGCCTCCCTCTCCCCTCGTGCAGGTGCTGCCATGGAGTCTGATCTGTGCTGACCGGACCCAGGCAAGAGGTGCACAGCCCAGAGAGGCGGCCTGCAGCCAGTCGCCATGGCATCCCCCATGGCAGAGAGCCAGCTGCAGAGAATCATCCGCGATTTGCAAGGTGCGTTGGTTGGGCAGGGGGAGGCACGTGGGGCTCAGCTGGCGGGGGGAGCTGGGGCTGTGCTCCTGCTGTCAACTCTCTCGTGCTTGTCACGCGGAGAGTAATAGGAGCCATGGGGACATGGCGTGTGGAAGTGTTTGGGGCCCGGGTGTCCACCCCAGGTCAGGCTGGGAGAGCTGGCCTGGCTCTCCTCTGAGGGTACTGTGAAGTCAGTTTGTGAACAAAATCCATTACCCTTTTCTGGGTCTGGCTCTGCTTTCAGTAAGTGTGTGTGTGTATGTGTGTTTTCAAGCCACCTGTTAAGTCTTTGGCTGAATCATGAGCCTTTGGGCTCTAATGGAGTTGGCTCACTTGGGGAGGCGTGTTCTTCCCTTTGAGCAGGATGACCAGGCACCCGTCTTTCTTGTTTTGCTATCCTCCTCAGTCCTGGCAGGCGGACAGCCTATCTCCTATGACGCACTGTAGTTCTGGGCCTGCTGCCTCCCAGACTTCCCCGAGCTCAGCAAACCCACTGAGACTCGTAACTCTGATCTCCCTGGGGAAGGGCAGAGGAGAGGAGGTACACGGGAAGTGGAGTGGAATCCGGAGAGTCCAGGGCCCGAGCTCACCCTTCTAGGTGATACCCCAGGGCTCAGAATTCTGGCAAGTTTCCCACCCACCCCTGCAAATCACCGGCTAGTACATTGGCTACCACACGGTCTGAAGCTGACCGCTTCCTGCGTGTCGCAGGGATTACAGTGATTCTCTTGTGACAGACTGAAGGTCCAGGTTCCTACCTGCTCAGGCCCAGTGATGACCAACTGCAGTCTGTCACACCCAGGGCCACTGGGCAAGTGGCGGCCACTGCACGCTTCTCATTCTGCAGGTCAAAAGGCGCTAAGATAAAAATCACTCCCAGGCTTCTCTACCCATTTATGTAGCATTTGGGGCCTTGAATAGCTGATAATCACATGGCATTTCACATGTACCAGGCACTGTCCTACACATGCCTTACGGATAATGACTCATGGAGTCCTCACATTTGGTCTGTGAGGTAGGAGCCATTACCCCGATTCTGCAGATGCGGAGACAGGCACAGAGAGGTTAAGTGACTTGCCTAAGGTCACATCCAGTCAGGCAGAGCCTGGGTTTGCACACACACCAGGTGCCAGAGTCTACACTCAACCACACCAGCCTACTTCCAGCTAAAATATTAGCTGGGTTTTTTTCTTAAGCCTACACACATGTGCACACACACTCACACACAGAGAAGCAGAGAAAGTAAAATGACAGTCTCTGCAAATCTGAGTTCACCACTGGCCTTGAGAAGTCTCTCCGCAAAGTAGGCCCTCTTTTCTGCGTGTCAGTCTCTGTTTCTCTGGGACGACTTTGGGACCCGGATGTCTTTACTGGGAGGGAAGAGAGAGGAAGACAGGACCCCCTTGCTAGCGCTCCTGATCCAGGGAGGAAGACAAGCATTGGCATTGTTCAGGTGCCCTTTTCACCCCACATCCTGGCTGGTCTGGTCGTCCCCGACATCCCAAGGCCGTCTCAATGTCACTCACCCAGCCCGCCAAGTGCTTTGACACACTGCTTTCTCAAGACCCTTCCCTTGGATCTGTTGGTAACTGTCCTCATCGGCATACAAGAAATCTCTGGCATGGAGCGTAGGAATGGTGCACCCCTAACTGAGGTGTCCTTGGGCAGCACATAGCCTTCATGCCTCTGCAGGGCAGCCCACTCATCCTCCTGGTGACAGCAGTGACGAGGGCCTTGGGGTCAGCTCCTGGCTCCACCTTTTCACCCTGGAAGATGTTGGACAAGTCCCATCACCTTTCCAAGGTCCTCTTCTTTCACATGCTAGATCAGCTTGATGATGACACCCATTTCTCAAGATTGTTGGCAGAGGCAAAAGTATAATTCACAGAAAACTAAGAGTATTCGTAAGTAATGCGTTTGGATTAGCAGGGATTAGAGCTGAACACTTCCTATTCCATATGCAAGGCTCCTTCTTTCAGAATTTCAGGAGTTCCCAGATCAGGTTGTGAGCGTTAAACCCCGCCTGAGGGTGGGAGAGGAAGGCTATGCGTCTTTCCTGGTCCCTGCCCCGCCGCCCCCCAGCTCTCGATGCCAGCCACAGCAAATACTTCTAGAGGATGCCAGTGCCACTGGGTAGCAGTCACTTGGTATAAGAATCAGTCCCAAGAGCTATCTTCGCCATTTGCTGACCTCTGCCCGAGGGGTCAGCGTCGAAATTTTAGCAGCTCAGGCTCAGCTTCGGTGCTGGGCAGGTCTGCTTTCCAGCCATGGTTCTAGAGAGCAGGGGCTGGGGGCGCCTCTTCCTTACGAGCCATCACAGAGCAAGATGGTTTTGTGCAACGTGCCCCACCCATCTCAACCGTGAGCACGCTTCCCAGTATCTACACCAAACCCAGCTCCTTGCCGTCCCTCTGTGCCACAGCAGAGGCTGCAAGTGAGAATAAAGGTGGTTTTCCCTCTTTTCTGCACAGGGATGTCGGCTGTCTTAGAAGTGGAGAGGCAGGCTCCAGAGTCAGAAAGCCCTGGAGAAACCAGGCTTCTCATTCCAGCTCTGCCGTTTGCAACCCGTGGTCTCTGGCCAAGTGCTCTGACCTCTCCCGGAGTTCCTTATCTGCCAAACACGGATGATGATATCAGCCTTCATCATTCTCCACTTGTACTTTTCTTCCCCCCCCCCCACATTTTAACCGTTCTGAAATTGGAATCCTCTTAAAACCAGTTGCTTGTTGGATTTGTGGAAATAAAACCATGCCCGCCTCGCCGTGCTGTATTAAATGAGAAAAACATGCAAAGGCCTGGCCCCTGATGGGCACTCAGCTCACGGAAGCAGATGTCATTGTTGTCATTCTTGGGGTTGTTCTCATGACTCTTATTTGCACATTCTGGGTCTTCTTGAAGCCGGGACTTAGCCTGTACTGAGCAGGTAGGGTTATAGTGAGGAACAGCAAGGCACAGGGCCAGAAGGAAGGATAAAGCTTCCTGGAAGTCAGTATGAGGGGCCTGCTGGGTGATTCATGCACGTAGCAAACCTTCATTGACCAAATCCTGCATGCATATTACAAGGCCTACAGGGAGGACCAAGAAATGTGCCCAGTCAGGGAGCGGTGGTAGAGTACTTGTGGGCTCTCTGGATCCCTGAGTGCCTTCAGACTCAGCATTCCCTCCTTTTGGGTTACATCCCACTTTCTGCTTCCCAGGTGCTCCGCCCTCACTGACTACTTACTCCCTGTGCTTCCCAGGGTTATTCTGCTTCTCTCTCTCAGGCCAGTTACGTGTTCCCATTTGTTGTCTTAAAGATGCTGTGACAGAGCTAAGCAAAGAATTTAAGGAAGGCGGGGAGCCCATTACGGACGACAGCACCAGCCTGCATAAGTTTTCTTATAAACTTGAGTATCTCCTCCAAGTAAGTGACTCCTGTACCGCGTTGATTTCTGCTCTGTTCTCTTTTTCCCGCTCAGGTGACTCATCAGCATTCAGGATGTGGTTCAGACAGCTCTGGGGAGCCAGTAAGCCTTCCTGGTTAGACCGAAGGTCGGAGCAGCCCCGGGTCGCTTGGAGCTTGAGCCTCCCAAGTGTGAGCCTCTGGAGAATCTGAATGTTGCCCCTTAGGATGATTGTAGGCATCAAGAACATTCTTTAGAGATTTAGATCATCTTAAGGCAGGTCACAAGGTCATTGGCTAGCAGAGATCTTAACTTTGGGGCAGTCGCATCCCCCTTTGAGAGTCTGGTGAAAGCTGTGGGATCTCTCCCCAAACAGACATGCCTGTTATGTGTACACACCCAGTCACCCACTCTCTAGGAGTATGTGGACTCTCTGAAGATTATCTAGAAGCTCCCATTTTGGAGCCTTGCTGCTCAGAATGGTGGGGTCCACAGACCAGCAGCATCAGCATTACTGGGGAGCAGGTGAGAAATGTATTCTCTTTGCCCACCTGACCTGTGCTAAATCAGGATCTCTGAGGTCAGCCCAGGAAGTTTTGTCTGAACACGCTCACAGTGTAATGCTGATGTCTGCTTGCTTAAAGAAGCACGGATCTAGAGAGCTCTGCAGTTGCGGAAAAATAGAGGCAATCACAGGAGGCAGGAAGAAAATGGACCAAAATGTTAACAGAAGTTATCTTAGGGAGGGGGTGTTGGGCATTATGATTTTTTTTTGCTTTTCTAGTTTTATCCAGATTTTTCTAACAATGTATCTTAACTTCCATAACCAGAAAAAAAAACCACTATAAAATGTTATGTTATAGAAAGACACACCTTTATCCTTTTGAACACCAAAGTGTGCAATGTCACATCCCAGCAAAGCCCAGCTAGGGAATGGGCGCCTGCTGGAGGCAATGCCCCAACGTGTTGAGAAACTCACCTTTCAGTCCCTTTTCAGCTGCTTCTATCTTCCACTGGGACATGATTTATGGACCTTTTTTGTTTTCAGTCAGCCCGTTTTGGTTTTGGATTTGAAACGACTGACAGCTGGCATTAATTTGGATTTATCACGTATATATTAAAACAGTGTTGAAAACTTAAATTGCCAGGGTAAGATGTCTTGAACTCATTTCCCTAAGTTGAGATAAAGTTGACAGTCCTCATGTTGCCCTTGAGACTTTTTCTCAAATGTCTTCATTGTGTGTGAACAGCCCCTTTGGTGGTCTTCCACCCAGATCTATGCACAGAGGCCCCTTCAAGGGAAAGTCTTTCTGGGGGGCTGCTGCTCCTGAATCCCACTAGCTGTGTGACCCTGGGCCAGCTGCTTAACCTTTCCCAGCCTCAGTCTCCTCATCTGTAAATTGGGGGTTGAAATACCATCCCTCTTTTGCCAGTCAATAAAAATGGTGCCTGTAAACGGCCTCATCCAGGACAGGGTGACTAAGAAGCTGTTGCTGTTATTGATCATTTAAATGGTGGGATGATCAGCCACGCATCTGGCCCTCCTCTCTCTGTGCCTCTGTCTCCACAGTTTGATCAGAAGGAGAAGGCTACCCTTCTGGGCAACAGGAAGGACTACTGGGATTACTTCTGCGCCTGCCTGGCCAAGGTGAAAGGAGCCAATGACGGGATCCGATTCGTCAAGTCAATTCCGGAGGTAAGCAGAGTGGCCAAGGTCCTCGCATCTTCCTCTGTCTGCCTTAGCATCTCTTGCCTGGACCTGTGCTGCAGGCAGCTCCGTGAGGAGGTGGGGGTGGACAGCTGGTGAGGAAGGAAGGAAATCCGGGCACACTCAGTGCCCAGTGCTCTCTCAGGGAAGCCACCCAAGTGAGCGCTCACCAAGCAAGGGATGGCTTGGTCCTGACTCTGTTCTTCAGACCACCAGCATGCGCGGTCTCAGAGTGGGCTGCTCACACTGAGGCTATTTTGGGGGCCCATCGAGGGCGTATAGCGCCTCCGCCTTTTCGAAAGAATTAGTTCCTTAGATAAAATTCTTAGGGTTTACAAGGTGCTTTCCCTATAATTTGTTCAGGAAATTTGTACTGATAATGAAGAGAGTGATGTGAGACCTCAAGGGACGTTTCTTAAAATGCTGGTTATGCTAAGCAGCTTCCCACATTCAGTTCTGTGTCGCTCGAGCAGACAGCCAGCGCTTTGCTGTTTTAGAAAACTCCAGAACAACACATTCTCCCCCCTCTCCTTTATCTCTCTCTCTTTCTCTCTCTCTCCCTCCTTCCTTCCCTCTCTTGCTTGCCCTCCCTCCCCCCCCCCGCCTTCAGTGTAGTCCCTCTGGGAGTGAAAAATGGTGCACACTCAGGAGTGAGTAAACCCCTAGATTTCGGGCAGGAGGCCTATAGGGTTTCTCCATTTCGTCTCTCTTTCCAGCATCTTGTCAGTATGTTTGGAGTCACTTTAAAGCCGGCAGCCGTGCTCCTTGGCCGGCCTACCCCAAAGGCTGCAGAGTCAGGTGCTCTATCTCTCCCACTCCCTGCCATCTGGAGCCAGACGGGCTTCTTCTAGAGAATGACGGCGTTAGGTACACAGACAGCGAGGGCCGAGCATTTTCCAGTCTCTGACATCTGAGAAAATGAGGAAAGACCTTGGCCGTGAAGAGTCTATTGGATTTCTTTAATGTCCATGCAGCGCCACAGTCTTGTGAGAACTTGCTTGGCGGGACCACTGGGTCCCTGGCATAGAGCGTTTTGATGCCTCACACACCTGGAGAGGGGTCTCATCTCCTCTCCAAAGGTCTGGAAGAAGTTCTTAGCATCACTGTCCTGTCTTCCACTCCTCAGAGCAACAAAGACCTTTGACTTTACGGCTTCAGACAGCTGAAGTCTGGAAATAAGCTTAGCTTAGTCCCCATGGCCCAGAGTTACAAAATGCTTAAATCTTTCCGCATAAGGCACAGACCTCTAGACAATCCAAGGCCAGGGAAACTGACTTCTTGAAGCAAAAAGCACTCCCTGCTTGCACAGACATTTCTGGTTCCTGGCGGCTGTGTGGGCTCTGCTTCCCACGGGCTCCAGTTGTCTCATCCCAGTGCAAGGCTCTGCTCTCCTGGGCACCCTTGGGTGGAATGACTTGGAAGGGCACTGGGCCACAGGGCTGCTGGGTACTCGGGCTAACTGTAACAATCAAGTGTTGTCCAGGCCGCCAAGCCAGAAGGTAAAAGTGAATGGACAAGAAGCCTTGCTGAGCCCCTCAGGCCCTCATGGGCTCGGGGGCAGCCTTTTGGGCTAAAATAGCCTAAGGCTATATAATCCGCCACTTCTAGAAGTTCAGAATAAGCCTAGCCCGAGCTGTGCGACTTTCCCCGAGATGGACAGGGTCCGAACCAGGGTGCAGCTTGGCGTCAGGCTGTCAGCACAGTGATCAGGCTGAAAGCAGAATCCACTCTTGTGCACCCTTGCAGACTTCCTGCCCTTCACTGCTGTTGGGTAGCTTCTTGGTATAGTACAGGTAGATGAGTTTGGGCCAGATGCTAAAAACATGACCTAAAAATTAGGTCATGAACATGGACCCGTGATCTCAGAACATAAAAAATAAAAAGCTGGGCAGTATTTTCACTTGCAGTACAAAGGAACTATTGATCCCCTCCCCCAGAGGATGTTTCGAGATGCCTCTTAAAATAAATAGCTCCATGTATATGTATATATATCAAATCAATTTGGTTAATAAGGCTGATTAAAAACACAGCCTCAAATGTTTGGCACTGAAAGGGTCTTCATGTTCTAAATGCTGTTACAGTGGCCATTTTGCCATTAAGGGCAAGCGCATCCCTGGGGAGCTCATGGACATGCGCTGTTGTGTGAGGGTCTCATTAAGTTCTGCAGGGCCTGTGTGTGGACGTGTCTGTCTGACCCACACCCTTGGCTTCACGGTACCTTGCTCAGCTGTTCCGGGCTACCCTGAGTTTGCTGGGCGTCACCACTGAAAACTCCATTCGCCCTCGCTCATCAGTGGAAAAAGGACTTGGACGTGGGGCTGTCCTCACGATTCTCCCCAGGGCGTCTGTCCTGACCGGCTCTCTGCAGACATGCCATGATGGCTTTTCTAAAGCCAGCATGTCAGGCTGCCACCCACCTTCACTTCTAGGTGTCCTGACCATGCCCTGGACTCACAGAGCACACCCGGAGACCCAGCTTACAGCCCCTTTATTACTTCATGACATTTCACACCTTTTTATTTTTTAAAGCGACTTCATACTGCGTATCATTTCCTTGAGTCAACAGTAAGGAGACCTACAATTCTGAGGTAAAAGGTGCTATAGACCGGGATGTTTACACCTTCATTAGTATGTCAGTGCTTGAGGCTGTACCACACACTTCCTGTCCCAGTCCAGTGCCATGATTGGTTTCTCGATAGTATGGGGTGTTAGGACCATCTGTCCCCGGTCCCCCTCCACGAAGTTAAACGTTTCTAACCTTTGAAGAGGCGAGGAGGGTATATGGGTCTTTACTTCTCCGACCCAGACCCCGAGCCTGACAGAACTGGTAGGTTGAGAGGTTTTGAATTCCTGCCCACTTATCTTGAACTTCTGGAGCTGAACCATTGGGAATGAGTCCTGTTTGGCAAACTGGCTGTGTGTGCCCATCGCTGGCAGAGTCTCTGGCCAGCACACCCCACTTCCCTCCCAAGAACCTTCCAGAAACCTCTTCAGAAGCCACGTTTTGGCACTGTGGGGTGAGGTTTCCATGGCAGGCCTGCACCTGGACCCTCCTGTGTTGCCCACCTCAGACTTCCTGAAACAGAGCCACACCCATTTGTTCTTTACACCGGTATGTCCAGGCCACCTAGAGACACCTCTGCTCTCTCTCTCCTCCTGGGTACCTTCTAAGTGCAGTGAGCTGGCATGTCTTAAGCAAATCCAACCAGGAAAGCATTGACACATACAGATTTTACTGAGGGTTTCAGGAGAACACCGAGAAGGCCGTCATACATCCATCAGAACTTCTTAAAAGTCCCCCTGATGCACCCCTGCCCTTGCCCTCCTCTCCTCCCCCTCCCACTGGGGCTTCAGCCAAGCCCTGTGGCCCCTTCCCCTGATCCTCTTCTCCCAGCACCTCAAAAACAAGCCCAGACATTAGCCAAACTGAGACCATCTCTTGCTCAAGTTCACTTCTGATGCGAGGAGCATTTCATTTGACCTGCCTAGCTTTATTCTAAATACTCCAAATTAAATCAAACAGTTTCACACGTGACTATAAGCCCAGAGCTTCTGATGGAGCAGGGGAGGGAGAACGACATTCCCTGGAGCACCCACAGATGTTTCAGAGCTTCTCATGAACAGGTCTCCCTTGACACGTTTACTGGAGTCTACAGGTTATTCTCAGATGGGGGCCTGCAAGAAGTCTGCCTGCTGCAGGCTTCACCCTCTGGGGTGACGTGAGGCCACGTCTACATCTGGAGTTAGGCTAACAGCTCTTCTTTTCAACATCATCTGCTTTTTCCAGCTCCGAACATCTCTGGGAAAAGGAAGGGCATTTATCCGCTACTCCTTGGTGCACCAGAGGTTGGCGGACACCTTACAGCAGTGCTTCATGAACACCAAGGTGACCAGGTAAATGCATGGCAGTGCTGGGCTTTACCCAGTGAGCTCGAGTCCCCTCATTAGTACCGGGGAGCCCCTAGCCATCCTCGGTGTACGGGGGTGGTAGCACAGTGTGTTGACAGGTGAAGAGACGGAGCTCAGAGGGGCTGAGTACCTTTCTCTAGGCCCCACTGATGCCGGGTCACAAAGCAGGAGCTTGGAGCCAGACCTCTGAGCTCCTGATGCCAGGTGGCTTTCCCTCACGGTGGCATGCCCTCGGTGCCGGCCCTAATGAATGGACAGACCCCACCGGCCACTGGGGCCAGTGGGCTGCAGCCTTGGCTCTCAGCAGAATCAGCTGTGGGCTTTTTAACACCTCCAAGCCTGGGGCCTCACCTGAGACCCTGAGTCAACCCCTGCTGGGTGTGTTGGGGCTCCTCTGATATTGTGGTGGGCAGCCAGATTGGAGCCCCGCTTATCAGTGGGGTCAGCGTTTGTGCGGCTGGTGCTAAAGCCTGGATAGGCGGCGAGCAGGGAGGGAGGGGATTGAGCATGTAAATGGGGTGTCCAATGAAGAGCTGCAGCTCAGGCCCCTGGCAGCCGAACCTCTTTGGGTTTCCCACACCCTTTTCCAGCGCTGCCTCCCCTCTCCCCAGGGAGTGTTCTTCCAGTCAAAGAAATCACTTGTGGATAAAAAAAAAAAAAATACTGGTTGGGGGGAAAATAATGTGTTTCATTTTGTCACCTCTAAGACTGATTTGCATAAAGACGTACTTCTCATGCGTGTGACAGGCTCTGTGAATTCATGTGAGTTGAGAACCTTCGCGCATTTGATCTGAAGAGTATTTCGTTCTAGATGTTTGGTGAGAACCGTCACCAGCCGCTTGACTTCCAGTGCGTCACCTTTTCACAGACGCCAGCTGAGTAGCTCCTTAGGCCCAGCAGTGTTGCCTTTCTCAGTTCTTACTGCTTCACACCTCAGAGTGTGGCTGTTTGGTTTCTTGGCTTTAAAACTGGTGTCTGGACAGACCTTAGCCACGAGCTCACCGTCCTACATTGAATCCTCTAGAGGAGTAGATGAGGTTATGTTTCACAGAGGAAGTGTTCTTTCCCCTATAACTGCCCCTTTCCTGGCAGATAACTGAGATTTCAGTTTTCTCATATCCTTTTTGGGGAATAGATATGATGTAAATAATAAATGAATAAGCGTCTAGTTCATTTCAGTGATTTCCTTGAAGAAGAGCAAGATTAATTGAAAGTTAGGTGCTCCTACTGTGAAAATAAAACGGGAGTGAGTGTGTGTGTGTGTGAGTGTGTGTGTGTGTGTGTGTCCCCGTCTGTCCCCGTCTGTCGCTGTCTGTCTGAATTTAACTTGTTAGTAACCTGAGTGAGAATTTGATAAGCCATATCAAATTCAGTCTTTCCTTACCTTTATTATCCTTATCATCAATCCCTTTTCCTACTTCGCTGCAGTGACTGGTACTACGCGAGAAGCCCCCTTCTGAAACCAAAGCTGAGCTCTGACATCGTGGGCCAGCTCTATGAGCTAACCGAGGTTCAGTTTGACCTGGTGTCGAGAGGTTATGACTTGGACGCTGCCTGGCCATCGTTTGCCAGGTACTTTGAAGAACTGCTTGGTTGAAAAGACTGGGGGAAGAGGTGTTTGAAGTTCCAAAGGTTGCTGCCGGTCCACTCAAAGCAGTTTGGTCACTCAGTAAATTACATAAGGCTTTGCAACTCTTATGCCTACTAATTTTCTAGACTTTGTTGCGTTGTGACTAACGATAATATCAGAAGGCTCCAACTTGAAACTCTCCTAACTCTCCTAACTCTCCTAACCAGCCAGGTGGTATGCGTCAGTGGAAATGCATATGCAAAACCTGAGGTTTTTTAAGTGTGTTAAGGGACTTGGGGGTGGCCAGTGGGGGAAGCCGGCGGGCTTTTTCCTAGTCGTGTTCTTGCAGAGTTGCCACGGAGGACTTGCAGGCAATGGGAGAGGGAACTACAGCACCCACGGAAGGGTTGCTGGAAAAACGCTCACCTGCCACTCCAGGAGGGAGATGGGAAGGGACAGCTCAGACAGTGGGCGACTTACCCACAGTCGCCCAGCACCGCCAGCACGCCAGACTCGAGTTCAACTCCAGTTCAGCATTTATTTATTTTTTTGAGAGAGCGCGTGCATGCATGAGAACTTGCGCATGTGTGCGCTCTTGGGGGTGGGGAAGCAGAGGGAGAGGGGGAGAGAGAATCTCAAGCAGGCTCCATGCCCGGGTCAGAACCTCGATCTCACAACTCTGAGATCATGACCTGAGCCGAAATCAAGAGTTGGTGGCTTGGGGCGCCTGGGTGGCTCAGTTGGTTAAGCGACTGCCTTCGGCTCGGGTCATGATCCTGGAGTCCCGGGATCGAGTCCCGCATCGGGCTGCCTGCTCAGTGGGGAGTCTGCTTCTCCCTCTGACCCTCCCGCCCTCATGCTCTCTCTCTCTCACTCGTTCTCTCTCTCTCTGTCTCAAATAAATAAATAAAAATCTATTTCAAAAAAAAAAAAAAAAGAGTTGGCCGCTTAACCAACTGAGCCACCCAGGCACCCCCCGGCCCAGCATTCTTTGTTTTGCTTTCTGTTAATACAAATTGTTTTAAATGTCAATTTTTATACTTTTTATTAGGAAATATTTTGTATGTAGAGAATATGATGACACCCATGTGCTGACCAAGATGAAAAGCTAATATTCTGCGATGTTTTCTGGACATGTCCTTTTTTAAAACTTTTTAATTTTGAGATCATTTCTTAATTACAGCAAAGTTGCCCCCAAAATGCCACAGAGCATTCATCAGCCTTTACCTCAACTCCCTAATTATCAGTATTTTACTACCACTGTTTTATCACTCTTTCTCTTTATCAATACATGTTGGTTTATTCCCTAGGCCATTTGAGAGAAAGTCAACAGACTTGATTCCGCTTGACTCCTCAGTACTCACTGTGTACTTCCTAAAGTCAAGGACACCCTCTTATGTTTAACCTCAGTGCAGATATTAGGATCAGGAAATTAACATGGATACAATGCCACCAATTTACAGATTCTAAGAATTATGCCAGTAACGTCTTCTGTACTCCAGGAGCCGGTCCAGAAATGCAAGCTGCAGTTAACGCCAGTCTCTCTGGTCGTCTTGAATTTGGAACTGTTTCTCAGTCTGTTTCACAGTGTAGATATTTTTGGTGAAAAGCAGAGGCCAGTTACTTTGTAAAATGTTCCTTCCTTGGAGTTTGTCTAGCACTTTCTCATTGTTAGATTCAGGTTAAGCATTTCCGGCGGGAGTACCCAGATGTTGTGTCGTTCTCAGCACATTATGTCTGGAGACCCACGATGTTGATTGGTTTCATCACCGTGGCGGTTGACCATGACCATTAGGTTAAGGTGGCATTTGCCAGATTTCTCTAAAGTTACTCTCTCCCTTTGTAATCAGTATGTTTCATATGGGAAGATACTTTAAGATTAAGTTGTTGGGGCGCCTTGGTGTTTCAGTCTGTTAACCATCTGCCTTCGGCTCAGGTCATAATGTCAGGGTCCTGGGATTGAGCCCCTCCTCGGGCTCTCTGCTCAGTGGGGAGTCTGCTTCTCCCTCCCCCGGCTCGTGCTCTCTCTCACACTCTCTCAAATAAATAAGTAAAATCTTAAAAAAAAAAAAAAAGATTAGGTTGTTACCTCGCTTTTTCCTTAATATTTATGTACGTATATATTTTTGTGAGCTCTGCGCCCAACATGGGGCTTGATCTCAGGACCCCAAGATCAAGAGTTGCATGCTCTGCTGACTGAGCCAGCCAGGCACCCCTATGTATGTATGTATGTATGTATTTATAGCAGAGTTGACTCATGGATTCTTATTTTAATCAGTGGGCTACATTCTGTCACTGTAATCATTTATTTTGATGCTTAAATTGTTCCCTATTTGGCCAGCAGAAGCCCCTTTGAGCTGGATCTTTTGGGTTGTTTTTTTTTGTGGGTTTTTTTTTTGGATGTTATATCTGATACCATTCGTTTAGAAAATAAAAGATCACAGATCCAAATAAAGCCCCACCCCACTGTCACGCCCTCCCCTTTAATTCTAGAAGTAATCACAGCCCTGTAGTTGACACACGTCATTCCTGAATCTCTCTGTGTGTTACTATGTGTGCAACCATACATATTTTATATATGTGTGGTTTTATTTTGTATGTATTTATAAATTTTGCATACATTGAATCATAGGTAGCTATCCTTTTGCAACTCACTTGTCTCATTTCACGTCGTTTTAGAGATTTTTATCTGTGTTTGTACATGGATTTCTATGGCTGTAGAGAGAGGGTCAACCAGCCACAGCCCGGAGGGCAGCACGGGTTGGGGGGGCGGTCACACAGCTTCGCCTGTTCATTTACCTGTTGTCCACGGCGGCTGACGTGCTGCTACTGTAGCCTGAGTCATGACAGAGACCAGAAGGCTGGCAAGCATAAGGTATGTCTTGTCTGGCCCCTCATAAGAAAAGACTGCCGACCCCCCATGTAGAGCATTTACCTGCTTCCCGGCGGGACAGAGTTGGGATCTGCTGCCTTCACTGCCACAGTGCGGCCCCCAAGCCTGGAGTCACCTTGACTTGCAGACTGATTGCTGCTCTCCCCTCACTAGCAGACAGACCATGACAGGCACCAAAGGTGTAAGGAAAATTTCAACCCCAAATTGGAAAATGCCAGGTCCACTTCTTTGGCAGCAGGTGGAAAGGCCTTACGTTCAAACTTGGCAGTGGAGCCCGTCAGCCGCGGGCCAGCATAAATGTGCTCTTCAGTAGAAGCTGTTGGGTTTTTGGCTTTTGACACTCTCTCTGGGAGGGCAGTGCCCCCTGCCACCACCTGGGTGCCTTGTGATAATCAAGGCCTCTGTGTGTGTCCTGATCTGATACCGTCTGTCTGTCCTGTGGCCCCGCAGGAGGACACTGGCCCCCGGCTCTTCTGCTTACCTGTGGAAACCCCCCAGCCGCAGCTCCAGCATGAGCAGCTTGGTGAGCAGCTACCTACAGGTAATGCCAGAAAGGCTGGGGATTTCCTCACCAACGCGTCAACCAGGCTGTGCTCTGGCCTCTCGCAACTCGGGGCGATGTTCTCAGACACCTTTTGTGCCAACTCGAGTAATACAAACCCTCCATTCTCCGTGTTATTTCCTAGAGGCCGGGTTTTTATGACCCAGTAGAACTTAGGCCTTTTAAAAATTAAATTCTGTTAGAAGCTTTTGAAGTATTTTAAAGGAAGCAATTTAGGTCTTGGGTTAAAAGCAGGGGAGTCAAACGCTAACTGTTACCCACCAGTCGTGTGACCCCGGGCAGACCACTTACCGTCTTGAAACTTGAGTGCTCTCATCCAGAAAACAGGGGTCATAGAAGTCATTCTGGCTCAGAAGGTGATGGTGCAGATCGAGTGAAGGCGCCCTTAAGGGCTTGACACAGGCGAGTAAGTGCTCGGGGAAAGTCCTGCGGAAAGTTTGCGGGTAGGGTGAAGTTTGTTAATTGTGTTACAAGTGTGAATGTATCGTAGTCGCATATAGTTTTAAAGGTAAGAACAGTGCAGTTAAAACAAAATTAAAATACAATAACGTAAAAATAATAGAAGCATTACGAGTGGAGACTAAATCGAGCTTGAGCCCTGTTGCGTGGTTGGATCGCAGCAGGAGCTGTACGTATGGTGCAGTGGTGAAGAGGGGTTTAAATGTAACCTAATGAATCTAAGCGCCAACGTCCATTATGCTCCCGACACTCCGGGAGGCTGGATGGGACGTGCAGGCTCTGAGAGCCCGGGGAGCTCACGTGCGTGGCATCGCATCTTTAGGATGTTCTCTGACCTCCTTTGGCAGGTGCTTCCAGCGAAGTGCTTCTAGCCTTTTGAAGAGCTCAGGAGACTCGCTCTTTAATGACTTCTCATTGAACTCTAAAGCTTTTCCCCGTGGCCGTGGAGCTTCTCTCCCGGGGCCACTTGTGTTTTGTTTTTCCTCCGCAGACTCAGGAGATGGCCTCCAGCTTTGACGTGAGCAGCCCCGTAAACAACGAGGCACTGGAGGGCTTTGACGAGATGCGGCTGGAGCTGGACCAGCTGGAGGTGCGGGAGAAGCGGCTACAGGAGCAGATGCAGCAGCTGGACAGAGAGAACCAGGAGCTGAGGGCGGCTGTGAGCCTGCAGGGCGAAAAGCTGCAGGTGGAGAGGGAGAGGGGCCGCGCCGCTGCCGAGGACAACGCCCGCCTCACTTGCATGGTGGCCGAGCTCCAGAAGCAGTGGGAGGTCACCCAGGCCACCCAGAATGCCGTGAAGGAGTTCCAGGAGTGCCTGCGGGCCCTGCAGCTGGGGGCAGCAGAGAAGGAGGAGGATTACCGCTCGGCCGTGCGGCGGCTGGAATCTCTGCTGCAGCCCCTGGTGCAGGAGCTTGAGGCCGCACAGGACCCACTGGGCGGGGAGGACCGGCATTCAGCTAATGTCGCAGCCCAACCAGGCACGGCTGAGCAGAAGGCAGATGCGGCACCGGACACACGGGGGCAGCAAGAGCTCCTCCCCAGCGCCTCGGCCCTGGAGGTCCAGGAGCTGCGGGAGAAGCTTCGAGCCCTGGAAAGAGAGAGCACCAAGGCACGGGAGCTCAGCAGGCGGCAGAGTGGCCAGCTGGAGCAGTTGGCCAAGGAGCTGCAGCTGAAGGAGGAGGCCCGGGCCGGCCTGGAGCGCCTGCTGGAGGAGATGGCCCCGCTCCGGGAAGAGCTGGCCGGGAAGGGGCATGAGGCGGCCCAGCTCCGGCGGCAGCTACAGGAGTCCCTAGCCCACCTGAGCTCCCTGGAGCAGGAGCTGGCGGAGGTGAGGCAGGGGGAGCGGCAGCGGCGAGAGGAGAAGGAGCTGCTGCAGCAGGAGGCCGGTTTCCTGGCACGGCAGCCGCGGCTCCTCGAGGCCCAGCTGGCCCAGCTGAGCCGGCACGTGAGCGAGCTGCAGGAGCAGAAGCAGCAGCTCATCCGGGACAAAGACCACCTCAGCCAGAAGGTGGGGGCGCTGGAGCGGCTTGCCGGGCAGCCGGGCCCAGATCTGCCCACGGCAGGGGAGAAGCCCGAGGCCCGGGGTCCCCCAGGTTCCACCCTGCAACAGGTCTTCAAGAAGCCGGAGGAGGAGCAGAGAAGCCCCCGGGAGAGCCAGACAGGTGATAGCCAGATGCAAGGGAACGGTCAGGAGGAGAAGCTCCAGCAGGCCAACAGAGAGCTGGAGAAGGAGCTGCAGAATGTGCTGGAACGCAATCAGCTCCTCGAGGGCAAGCTGCAGGCCCTGCAGGCTGATTACCAGGCCCTGCAGCAGCGGGAGGCAGCCATCCGGGGCTCCCTGGCCTCCCTGGAGGCTGAGCAGGCCAGCATCCGGCACATGGGGGACCAGATGGAGGCCAGCCTCCTGGCTGTGAGGAAGGCCAAGGAGACCATGAGGGCCCACGTGGCCGAGAAGGAGGCCGCCCTGCGGAACACAGAGGCCGAGCGTCAGCAGCTGCAGGAGGAGGTGGGGCTGTGCCGGCAGCTGGTAGAGGCCCGGGAGAGGGAGCTCGGGGCTCTTGAGCTCCAGTGCCGCCAGCAGACCCAGCTGATCGAGACCCTTATGGCGGAGAAAGGCCAGCAGGGGCTCGGCGCACCTGAAGACCATGCCCACCAGGAGACAGCAGCCCAGCCGGCCCTGAGTCAGGCCCAGGTGGAGAACCAGCAGGGGGAGGCTGGGCGCCTGCCAGCTGAAGTGCTAGACCTTCAGGCCAAGCTCCAGGCAGCCCTGGATGACCGGGAGAAGGTACAGGGCCAGCTGAGCGTGGCTGAGGCTGCTCTGAGGGAGCACAGGGCCCTGGTGCAGCAGCTGAAGGAGCAGAACGAAGCCCTCAAGAGGGCCCAGGGTCAGGAGCCGCTGCAGCGCTCAGAGCAGGAAGGGGCACCGCGGGCGGAGAGGACTGAGGAGGAGGAGCGATCATGGGCCGAGAACCCACCAGTCCCAGAATGTGGCTCCCCGGAAGCCCGGCTGGAACAGGCCGAGTCGCAGGGGCAGCTGCCTGGGGCTAGCGCAGCCACCGACGAGCCCGGCGTCCATGTCAGCACGCAGTTGGCAGAGAAAAAGCAGACCGAGGAGGCCCTGGCCTGCGCCATGCGGGAGCTCCGTGACGTCAAGGAGGCAGCCTCGAGGCAGCGAGAGGGCCTGGAAGGGCAAGTGGCAGGGCTGCAGCGGGAGAGGGACAGTGTGCAGGAGAGGCTGAAGGTGGCCGAGGAGGCGGCCTGCTCCCTGCCTGGCCTGCAGGCCCAGCTGGCCCAGGCCGAGCAGCGGGCCCAGAGCCTCCAGGAGACCGCGCGCGAGGAGCTCAATGCCCTCAAGTTCCAGCTGAGCACCGAGATCATGGACCACCAGAGCCGACTGAAGGTAGTCCACCCTTGTCTTGACCCCCGGGCCGCAGTGGTCTCCTGTGGTGGGGCCGCGGTGGTCCACCAGAGGATAGGATGTGCCTTCAGCCGTGTGGCACGTGAGGACCCAAGAATGTACTGGGAAGCCGGGCAGGCGCGGCTGTCCTGCTCTCTAGGTGCCAGCACCCTTCCCCTCGCAGGGACACCTTAGGGGCACTTGTTGGGGCCGAGGCCCTAGCCAAGAAGTCTAAACTCCACATGGTCGCAGACAGGTTTGGTTCATACAGAGTGGCTCTTTTACATCAGTAACCAACACTTAAAGAGCTGGATGTTTACAGATTCAGTTTGGGGGCTCCCTTTGAAATCTCAGGAGATCTTTTTTTTTTTTTTTTTTTTTGAGAGAGAGAGAATGAGAGATAGCACGAGAGGGAGGAGGGTCAGAGGGAGAAGCAGACTCCCTGCTGAGCAGGGAGCCCGATGCGGGACTCGATCCTGGGACTCCAGGATCATGACCTGAGCCGAAGGCAGTCGCTTCACCAACTGAGCCACCCAGGCGCCCTCCACTGGACCCTTTAGAAGGGTCGTGTGCAAGACTCCCAATTCCCAAGCCAAAGCTCCCATCCGTTCACCTCTGTGGACGTCTTGAGCTTGCATCTCAGCCCCTTCTGCCTCCCGGACACCCAGCTGGAGCCGCCAGATGTCTTTCTCAGCCAGCCGTGTGGACAGGAGATGAGGTGTCCTCCTTAGCTGCCTCCACAGGCATGCCTGAGTTGGTGGTCCTGAAGCGAGGGGGCTCACGGGGGGGGGGGTGCTGCAATCACCGTCTCCAGGGAACCCCGCTCCCTGCCACCCCACCTCCGCCCCCACCCCGAGATTTGATTCCCGCTGCCACTCCTCCAACCTCCACAGCGAGTTGCAAGTAATACTTGACAGATAGGATTACAAACATGAGTGGGTCACTCAAAGGTTCTCGGGCTCTTGAACTTAAAACCCTCTCCAGTTAGAAGTCACCTGGCCAGGTGGGGCGGAGAACCCACCAGTCCCTTTCTGGCCTGTGGCACGGGCTCTAGTCGGCTGTCTTCTCCCCGCTGTCCCATGCCAGGCTGCCCAGGCAGATCTGGGAGAGCAGCTGCGCGGCACCAGCAAGCGTCTTTCTGAGAGCCAGGCCGCCGTGCAGAAGAAGGATGAGGAGGGGGCTGCCCTTCGCAATAGCTTGGACAGGTTAGTGATGTGGTTCCCGCCCACAGGGCCCCGGCTGCAGAGGCTTCAGGGAAGGGGGTGTTTGGTGCAGTCATTTAGAAACTCAGCCGCTCATAGCAGGTTAAAGAAGTCCTCTTGCAAACAGACTTGGAGGGCACTTTGCCAGAAGCACGCCACAGGGGCGGGCAGCCCGCCTCTCACCCCCCTGCAGGCAGCTGCTGAGCCTTTCTTGATGCCATTTTCCCACGTGCAGGGCACGCTTCTGCTTTGGAAGAGCTGACATGAAATAAAAGTTGCAATATAATAGTGGTAATGATAACAGCAAACAAATAATGCCTCAAATGGGCCAGGCACCATTTTAAACACTGCATCTCTTTGTCCCTTTTTTCCTCCTAACTGTCCTTTGAGGAAATTATTACCTGTCCCCATTTTATAGACGAGGAGAGTGAGGCTCAGAGGAGTTAAGTCACTTTCCTAGCATCTGACAGCACGTGGGCAGTGGTGGGAGGTGCGACCCAGGCCGCTTGACTCCAGAGTCTGTTTCCTCAACAATTACCCTGAAAAGCGCACAGATACTTCTGTGTCTGGTCTCGTGTTAGGGTCCTAGGCTGTGTGGGTGGGTGTGTGTGTTTCCCCGCTACGAGTTGTGACTCGAGCTCTTCCTGGTTTCCTTTATGAAATGAGAGGCCGCAGGGCTGGGGTCGGGGGGTGGGGGGGGTGTCTCACAGGCACGTGCCCAGTGAAGGTGAGCCAGTGTGCCTGGCACCAGGCCGGCTGGTCTGCCTGCAGACATCGTGCTGTCACCCTTCACAGTTGTCCTAACCTTGGAGTATGGCCCTACTTGTGCAGGCCCAAGATTTCCCTGAGCCCCCTCATCTTCAGGCTGGGGGGCCGCCTGGAGTTATGAGCGTGAGCCCACCATTTGGTGAGGAGGCCAAGGCAGTCCTGCCAGGGATGCTGCCGCCCAGTCACCTGTGTGCCCCCAGCAAAGACTGGCACACCAGATTGTCCCAAGCCTTTACCTTTTCTGCCCATCCCTCGTTGCCTCCTACCACCCGGCTTCTGGGGGGGGGGGTCCAGGCTCAGTGGGAGATCCAGAGCATGTTGGGTGTTCAGTAACCCAACATGCACATTTCTTCTCACTTGATTCTTCCAGAACGCTGTAGGGCTTTGGCTGCCCAGGTCGTATTCACGTGACGGTACAAATAGCAAGAACCTCCTAAGTTGGTGGCATTTTTTAGGAAAATGCTATGACAGTACTTATTTGTAAGATCTCAGAGCCATTGTTTTAGCTGTTCAGTGTTGCATAATTCGTCTGTCCTGGATTGGGTCTTACTTTATTCACTGTGTGTGTGCATGCACACGCATGTGTACACCCATGAGATCATTTTGGTGGACAGTGTCTCGTAAACAACCTTCCGACAGCTTTATACTGGGTATGGGAAGGCTGGATTAGATACAGATTACTTAGTCTCTGCAGAGCCCTGTGTTTAATGGAGTCTTTACGAATACCCTGCTGGACCTTGGGGTTTGTAGAGCATTCCTGGAGCACCACTGCCCTTGGGGACAGGCGAGCTGCAAGTAGAGCGGGCAAGGGCAGGAGGACCGTGCTTTGTTCAGCCAGCCCTCGGCCATAGACTGAGCCGAGGGAACAGAGCTCCTTAGGCCTCCGGGCTGTCGGGTCAGCACCTGGCAGTGCCCATTGAGTGCCCGCTGGGTAGCCAGCACCACGCCCTGTGCCCAGAGCCCCAAAGACACGTGGGAGACAGGTCCTTGTCCATGTGATCACCTCCAGGGAGATACACCTGTTTTCTTTCTATCCCAACTCGATTTTCCTCTTGCAAACCACCCATAACCTCAGCCCCTGCCCCAAAACCAAGTGGTGCAGAGTTCAAACTCACCTGGGGTGCTCCTAGCAGCCTGAGGTCACCTGCTCTCCCAGAATGCCCGTTGTATTTGATGTGGGGGGGTGGCGTGTGAAGAGTTTGGGGGTGCGAGGGGAGTTTTGAAGGCCGAGGGGATGCACAACTTGTGAGTGGGTAGTGCCGAGGGGCGCCCCCACTCTGAGAAGGAAAAGTCTCAGACAGTAGCAGGACCCCTCATTAGAGGCCCGAGTTAGCCCAGAGGCACGGGGGAAGCTGGAAGCAGTGGCTAATCAGTAAGCTTCCCACTTCTCCACCAGGACCCAGAAGGAACTTGAAAAAGCCATGGCAAAGATCCAAGAGTATTACAACAGACTCTGCCAGGAGGTGACAAACCGGGAGAAGAATGACCAGAAGATGCTCGCGGACCTGGATGACCTGACTAGAACCAAGCAGTACCTGGAGGAACGGCTGATCGAGCTGCTCAGGTGAGAGTCGGCACCAACAGCTGGCTGGGGGCCTCCTCTGAGCTGGGGTTTCTCTTTAAAGAAATGCAGCTACTCTTGGAAGGCCTCTCAAGGGAAATGGGCCCGTGTCTGCTTGCGTTATGTTGTGGAGGCCCTCCCCCGCACAGACGGGGTCCTCCCAGGCCCTTGGCAGCCTTGAAGAGTAGATTTCCCTGCTCCCACTAGTGTTCAGCTGGGTTTGTGTTGTCATAGTGCTGGGGCATTATTTTCAAAATCTCTGTGTGTTTAGCCACAGGTGTGACGGTAAGTGATGTCTCGTGTCTTTGGGAAGCTCTCCAGTCCCTTGTCCCTCTTCCGTGAGCCCCTTTCCCCTTCTCCTCCATCCTGCTTTCCCCCAGTACCAGGCCTCCCCAACTCCAGTGCCCGCAGGTAGCAGACAGCCAATGTAAGTGTCTGAGCGGGGCCAGGAGGGCACTCAGAAACCGGAGGACACGCGTGCTCTGCTCCTGACTCTTGTCGCCACACAGGCGAAGGGCCCAACTTCCCAGCTCGCCTTACTTCCGATGAGAATATCTCTAATGAGGCTCTAGATCAGATCTATACGTTGCAGGGTGTTATGTTAGATCTCTCTTACTTAGCGTGTGATTTGGCCACCATCTCTCCAACTTGTTTTTTTCTTTGCAGTGTACTTTTGAGGAAGCTAGGTCATGTATCTGATCGAGTTTCCCACAGCCTGGATTTGGCGGGTTGCATCCCCATGGTGCCATTTAACATGTTCTTCCAACCTTCATATGTCCTGTAAATTGTTAGTTAAAACCACAGCAGTGGTTCTCCCCACCTAACTGCACATTAGAATCACTAGAGCAGCTATTAACAATGATACCCATGTCCAGACCCGGCCCAGACCAACCCATTTGGAACTTATCGGAGTAGGGTCCAGGCATCCGTGAGCCAGAGTTGAGAACCACTGCTCTACTAAAGGCTTCCTCAGACCCAGGCTCAGAATTTTCTCAGGAACGCTTCAGAGAATTGGTTTATAGTTTGGGTCTTTCTTTCAAGAGCCACATAAGATCTGATGAGCCCATTTTCTGCGATGTTAGCAGCCATGGATAAGCAGTGCCTAAAGCTACTAATTCATTTGGGGTTGCAAACTGGTGGTATTTGGAAGTGTAAAACCTCTGCCCACATCATGTCATCAATTCGCAGACTTGGAACTCAGGGCATTTATGACCTCTGAACTCAGACATCTTCCTGAGGTCTGGGTCGGAAAAGCCCTGGTCCTGACAGCTTCCCCCATTTCAGGGTGTGGGTACCTGGCCTCCAGGGGACAGAAGGGATGGGCTGGGAACCAGCTGGGAGGACGATGCTGGTCCAGGGCGTGAGTCGTCCTGCTTCCTGACAACTTAAAGCATCCTTGAAGAGCCAGTCAATTCCTGGCTTTTGTCCTGGCTTTTGAAGATTTATTTAAGAGAAAGAGAAAAAGAGGGCAGGGAGGAGGGGCCAAGGGGGGAAGGAGAGGAAGAGGGAAAGAATCCCAAGCAGACTCTGCGCTGAGGTCAGAGCCCGACTCGGGGCTCAGTCTCACAACCCATGAGCCGAAACCAGGAGTCGGATGCTCAACCAGCTGAGCCACCAAGGAGCCCCTGTCTTGGTTTTTGTATTTAAAGGGAGAGGACTGTGGATTTGGAGTCTCTGGCTGGCAATGGTGTCAGTTTCTCATAGGACCTCAGTGGATCTGGTGTTGGTGTTTGGGACTGAGGTGCTGCTGGGGCTACAGTTACTTTAGGATGGTGGCTGGGGCTCCATCTCGGAAAGAACAAAACCTTCCCAGGTCAGAAGCCATAAGCCTCGAAAATGACCATGAGCAGCAATATAGAAGCCTCTGTGCCCATCGGCGCTGGAGCGTCGGGCATGTTCTGACGCTGCCAGACCTTTCTGAAAAGCCTCCCTCTTCCTTCAGTCTTGCTTTCTGGGGCGCGTACTGTCTCTCTGAGGGGCAGGGGAAATTAACATCGCATCAGACTCTCAGGCGGGGAACTCTTTGGTCTTCCCCAATGATCGCTTGTTACTTTAACAAAGCATAAACACATAAAGGTTCCTGAACACGTTTAAGTTTTCTGTGGGCAGTACCTTCATGGTCCTTGGGCTCACGGCACTCAGGCGGTCATGTAACTGTGACAGCCTGTTACAGCTTCCACTCCGGGCGACCATGTGCACTGTCGTGTGGACACCTAGCTGTGTGTGACCCTCATAGGCGTACATACATCATGGGCGTACTCTGCCTTCACACGCATGCCATCAGCTGAGTCGAGGGCTAAAGCCAGGGACGGACGAGGCCTAGAGTGGGGGTGTTTCCAAGTAAAGTAAATTTTCCTTCCATGTCTAGGGAAATTTGGAATCAGGCTTTGGAAATGAATCGGAGATCATCCTTCTGTTTTCACGGATTCTTCCTTTTTCTAATGTGGCTCTGTCTCAGGGACAAGGATGCTCTCTGGCAGAAATCAGATGCCCTGGAATTCCAACAGAAGCTCAGTGCTGAGGAGAGGTGGCTCGGAGACCCGGAGGCGAGCCACTGTCAGGACTGCAAGCGAGAGTTCAGCTGGATGGTGCGGCGACACCACTGCAGGTCAGCGGGTGGAACCCAGCACCAGAGCGAAGGTGCTAAAGCAGGCACCGCCGGCAGGCATGGGCCCCACCGCTGTCTGGGAAGAGCACATTGCCATTTGGTCCTAAGGGGACCAGGCGAGGGGGTGTATTAGGCAGGGTCCTAGCAGGGCATGTGGGGATCCCTGAAGGGGAAGAGGGTTTGATACAGGGGTATGGGCTGAGTCAAGGGGACCCACAGGGCTGTGGAGCACCCAGAGACCAGCAACCCTTGGCCTCCCTCAGCCTGCAGGGACCAGAGCGGAAGCGGCATTACTGAAGCTGAGGGAGAGCGGGGGCGGAGGCTTGGCTGGGGGAACGCGGACAGCAGAGACTCTCCTAGGGCCCAAAGAAGGGTAGGCAAAATAAATCTCGGTTGGGGCCAAGGCAGATGGAATATCGTCAGCACAGGCCCAGGTGGGTCTCTGGTCCCTTAGAGCCTCAGCCCCTGAGGCATGGAATGTACCCCTGTGTTGTTGTGGCAGAGAAGGTGGACTCAGCCACATACTTTATCCCCCTGCCTCCCAGGACGTTGGGAAATAAAACCTTTTCTCCCAGTGGCCGTATCAAGATGGCTTTATTGAAATCTGATCAGATTGACCACAAGGCCACACTCCTCAGTGGGGGCAGAGCCAAGTCTGAAGAGAGCCACGTGGCATCTAGAGCCCAGTGCAGATCACAAGACCCGCGGTGCATCACCCTCACGGCCCGTGCTCGTTTCACCCCAGGGTCTGTGGCCGCGTCTTCTGTTATTACTGCTGCAACAACTACGTCCTGACCAAGCGCAGTGGCAAGAAGGAGCGCTGCTGCCGAGCCTGCTTCCGGAAGTTCAGCGATGGCCCTGCATCGCCTGACAGCGCCAGCTCCGGCACCAGCCAGGGGGAGCCCAGCCCTGCACTGTCGCCAGCCCACACTGGGCCCCAGGCTGCCAGAGGCCAAGGTTGGGCTCCTGCTCCTGCCCTCTGTCTTCTTAGGTGCCACCCCCCCGCCCCAATCACCACTACCCCAGTGTGGCTAGTTAGCTGTAACAGGCTGAATTCAAGGTTTTCTAAACTTAGGCATTAAAGAGGTGCTAAAAATGTATTGCACCAATTTGAGACTTTCTTTTTTATGTAATGAGGCTTGAAAGAGAACTGAAAAGGGTATACCTTTCTCCTGGTATGATTCAGTGTTATTTAATGCGAGGTCTGTGTACCTCTTAACTTACATGCTACCAGTGGAATGTACCCCACACCTTGGAAAATACTGTTTCCAGAGCCTCAGCCCCAATACCTAACCCTTCTACCAAAGTAACCAAAGGCCAAAAGTTGTATGTGGAAATGACCACATCCTTCACCTTCTCCCTGTGGCTCACGCTGTCTCTCAGTGACCAAGGAGGATGTATTCTCCTCATCCTTTCACTCTGCTCAGAGGAAGTGGGATCTGGTTCCTGCTCTTCCTGCTCCAAGCACAGTCCTGCAGAGCAGGCCACACTGTCCTCTCATGGACCAGACTGTGGATGTAGAATACCAGGGAGGCAGAGCCGAGATGGCAGGGTCTTGTCTTTGCTCAAGCATTACCACCTTCTGCAGCCCGTTCCTATGAACTCTTCCTTGGCCTCTGCCTGGATGCAGTTCAGCCAGCCTTCAGAGATACTGTTAGTTCCGCTTTTGTTTGACTGGATCATCAAGGAAGTTGCCAGGCCCCATTATTTATATTTGGTACAAAGAACTGCTCAGGGATGGTGGAATGTACTGGGCATAGCATTCCTGTATCTTCTTCAAATGCATTTAAAATTCTTTTTTTAATTCTTAAGTTTTGAGAGTCCTTTATATATCCTGGATAGAAGTTATTTATCACATACGTGTTTTACAAATACCTTTTTCCCAACCAAAAACCTCTTTTCACTTTCTTAAAAAGAGCAAAAATGTTCTTCAGAATGCAGAAGGTTTTAGTTTTGATGAAGTCCATTCCATTTTTTTCCCTTACAGATCAACTTTTTTTCTTTTCTTTTGGTATCCTATCTATCTTTGCTTAACCCAAAGACACAAAGATCTTCTCCTGTTTTCTTCTAAAAATTACATAGTTTAGGTCTGTGATCCATTTGTAGTTAAACTTTTGTATATACCACAAGCTATGCATAGAGATTCATTTTTTTGCATATGGTTGTCCAGTTGTTCCAACACCATTGGTTGAAAGTCTGTTCTTTTCTCATAGAATTGCCTTTGCACCTTTGTCAAAAATCAGTTGAGTCTGTGTCTGGAATTTCTGTCCTATTCCATTTATCTACGTGCCTTTTCTCTCATCAATACCACACTGTTGAGATCACCATGGTTTTCTTATGAGTCTTTAAATCAGGTAGAGCAGGTCGTCTAATTTTGTTCTTTATCAAAGTGTTGGCTATTCTAGGTGTTTTTGCTTATCCATATAAACTTTAGAATTAACTTGTCAATTTCTATAAGAAATCCTGCTGAAATTTTGATTGGGATCACACTGAGTCTCTAGATCGAGTTGGGGAGAACTGACATGTTAACAAAATTGAATCTTCCAATCCACGAACATGGTATAGCTCTCCATTTCAGTCTTCTTTGATTTCTCTCCTGATGCTCATTGTCCCTTCCTTCCTGTCCTTCCTTCCTTCCCTCTGCCAGCCTCAGAAGGCAGGTTCAGAAGCGTGGCTGGGCATATGGAAAGAAACCAGTCCTTGGTCCTGTTTTTCAGCCTGTGTCTCCAGCCCTCCATTATGCAGACCTCAGACAAGAGGGAGGATGTTCCATCTAAAGCAAGGCCTGCCCCAGTAGCCCTGTGGCGGGGCCAGCTGGGAACTTGTAGCTCGCATGAACTGTTCTTGGTAAACCGTCCAGGAATCTCCCCTGCCCTGACTGGCAGGTGTTACAGCGAAGACAGAGGGTGGCACTGTGCCAGAGTACTGAGGTCACTTGTTTTGATTTCTGACATTTCCTGTCCCCTTGTCTGTCTGCATTTCTTTCTGTCTTTCCTTCTCTCTGCCATTCTTTCGCCTCAGGCCTACCATCACATTTTTTCATGACATAAGCAAGAGAGTACTTGCGGGTGGGTGACCGGCACCGGAGTGTCCATACAGCCTCCTTCCTCCTGGGTGGCCTGCAGAGTCAGACACCAGGCCCCGGGTCAGAAGCACAGTGGTTGCTGCCACCTTGAGCAGAGGGAGGTTCTTCCCCATCCCCCAGTGGATGGAGGTGAAAATGCAGGTCAGACAGAATCTTGGTTCAAAAACGCACGAATGTCGTTTCTGTGGCTCAGGGAGCAAGACTCGGCAGCACAGAAGTGTGTTTACTCTTTTTTTAGGTTCCTGCCTGATAAGGATTTGACGGGTTTTTGTTTTTGTTTTTTTTCTTCTTCTAAATAAGAGGCCTCAGAGAATATGTAAGAGCTTGAAATCTCTTTAAGGCCCAACTGAGGAACCAACAAGAGAAATCTTTTAGGTTGCGTGTGCAGTTTTACCTGTAGTCCCCGCTGTTTTTCTGCAATGTCCTGGCAGCCCTTTCTCTCGCACCCAGACAGAACAGCTGTAGGCCGAGTGGGCCCTGAGGGCGAGTCTTGGTGGCCCATCCTGCCCAGCAGCGGCCCCTCACTTCCCGGCACGCCCTCCCCATCCTGCGCATCACTGTGTGTGTCTCTTCTCTCCCCATCTGCCTCCATGGCCCGGGTGTAGACGCTGACTGCAGGCCGCCAGACGATGCCATGTTTGACATCATCACAGATGAGGAGCTGTGCCAGATCCAGGAGTCCGGCTCCTCCTTGCCTGAAACACCCACCGAAACCGACTCCCTCGACCCAAACTTGCCCGAACAGTGAGTAGACCTCACCTTTATTTCCTGCGTGCTCCCCCGAGTGCTGGGCCCTTGTGCCTTCTGATTAAAGGGCCAGCAAAGTGAGACTTTGGAAGCAGGATTGGCCGACTGTGTTTAAGGCAAAGGGCCTCAGAACAGTGCTCGGAACCGTTCTGGAGACTGGAAGGCCAAGGTCAGGGTGTTGGCAGGGTGGGCTTCTCTTGGTGCCTCTCTCCTTGGCTCGCAGAGGGCTGCCCGCTCTCTGCCTCTTCACACCCTCGCCCGGCTGTGTGTGCGTGCCCCGGCGTCTCTGTGTCCTGACAGCCCTTTTGTCCTTACCGCCTGCTGGCCTGCTCATCTGTTTTCCGACAAGGTTTGTGAGGAATGAAATGACCACACAAAGTGCCACCACATTGGAACGTCGAGTCGAGTTTGTTCCCCGGGGACCTGTAGGGACAGGCCAAGCCCCTCCCCCGCCACCCTGCTCCCCACAGCAGCCTTGCTCAGCGTCTCTCAGCCTCTGGTGTTCGGGCCTGAATGCAGTTTCTATAGCAAAGTACCCGCTGTTCAAAAGCCAAGAAAGAATTTACCCACTTTCCCTCCAGTTGGGGAGTTTCATGATGCTCCTGCCAACACCCACATTGAGATCTCTGTCCCTCTCTTCCTGCCCAGAATTCAGCAAGGCTGGGATTAATCAGCAGGATATCTGCTGTGTGGGAGGAGATATATTTAATCCTCATGAAGCTCTCAGGGCAGGAGAGTTTAGGCTTAAGTGTATCCCTCCACTCTCCCCTGTTCTCTGACGAGAGGGTGACTGAACTCCCATGTTGTGGCCTCACGGAGAGCGCCAACACGCTCACCCAGCCCATCAGCGCCTGCACACTGTTGCTTCCTCAGCTTTGGACCTTGCCTTTTCCTTCCTGGAACCCCCTGCCTCCCGATCTGAAGCACCCCCTGACCACACAGCCTGCAGTGTTCTCCCGAGGGCCTGCTCTGTTCCAGCGGCACTGAGGCAGTCTTCCACCATCACCTGGCCACCGTACCCCCTGCCGGGTGGGTAGGTGGTAAGGGGAGCATGGCTGGAGCCTCAGTGACCCCCTGCAGCTCTCTCCCTCCCTCACCCCTCCCCTGTCCCAGTAAGAGCAAAAACAGAAGGCACTCTGACCGCTGACAAATATCTGTGTTTTGGTCCTGGGAAATCAGGAAGTGTTCCAGGGAAAGGAAACTGCCAGCATGCTGGCCGGCGGCCTCCAAGGTGGATCCGGGCCTGGCAGTTGGGAGCCCACAGTCCCTGCACTCCGTCTGTTGGGGGAGGAGCCTGCCCTCACAGTCAGCTAAGGGCCTGCACCCTCACACACCATCTTTGCACGTTAGAGAAGACCCAAGTGTCTCTAGTAGCTCTCTCATACGTTCTTTTTCTTTCGGAGTTTAAGACCAATCCGAAACACCAGGACTCTGAGAAAACGTGAGCTGTCTAGAGCCCTGGATTTGTGTAAGCCTCCCTGACAGGAAACTTTGAGAAAGAAATGAGCAAGTCCAAAGTAAGAAGTGAGCCAGAAGGGATTAAGCGCCATGTGTGTCCAGATCCCTGAAGGAAAGAAGGCTGCTTGCCAGCAGTGTTGTTGAAAGCAACTCTGTCGGGCCCCTTCCCTGTGCCGGTCACTTCTACATGTGGCCTCGCTCAGTCCCCGCCCAACCCTTCCAGGCATAGCAGCTAAAGCTGCGGAAGCTTCCAGAGGCCAGAGAAGCCTCTCCCGGTCACGTGGCTGTAAGTGTCAGCACTAGGCTTTGAGCCCAGAGCCCTTCCCTCCGTCCACAGGCTGCAGGTTCATTCTGAAGAGTTCAGTTCTCTTCTCTGGGTCCCACCTCCCCATTTGCACATCAGAAGCCTGCCCACCCTCCCCTGCCCCATGTCCACTCCTCCCCACATGGACACATTCTTAGGCTAATGAAGTTGTCTGCCTCGCCCCTCCTGGCACAGGGAGGGGACAGGGACAGGTCCCCACACCCTTGAGCAACCGCCCCCCCCCCCCTCCCCCGACGTGGTTCAGAGCTAGGGTGGTGGCAAGAAACAGAAGCACAGCCCCTTCACCTGGGGAGAAAAGATGGCATTCTTCAGAGCCCTCCAGACATGCCTGTTCGCACCTGCTTCCCACACTCATCCAGGCCCCCCCCAAGCCTTCTCCATGGACCAAGTGTCCATCTGTGCTCGGGACTGAGGTGGCAGGCAGAGACAGAAAGCTCTCGTCAGCCAGTAGCAGGGCTGGGCCTTGGGTCCCTTGGCCGCTGCTCAGCTTCCACCCAGGCCTGGCCTCCCCTTGTGGTTACCAGACAGACAGACCGTATGACGTCAAGCGCTGAGCCCCGGGCCTGGCGCCTGGGAAGCCTTCCATGGAGGCACATTGTGTCTGTGATGCTCTGCATGCATTGTGGTGTCAGGGGCTGAGTTGTGTCCTGTACCTTGTCTCTAGTACCCTGGTCCTTCTCCAAGGAAGACCACTCAGATGCCCAGTGATACTGAGCCAAACTCGTAGAGACTGTCCCTGCGCCTTCGAGCCCCTTTGCCAGTAATTGCTTCATGACTGGCCCTTCGTGGTCACAGTGCTTTGCAGAGGCAATGGTGGGTTTGTCACCAGCCAGGAGATGTGATGCCTGCATCTCAGAAACAACACGAGAACAGGATATGGTAAAGATGGTTAAGGTTAGAAAGCCGCCTTGTGCTTGGGGTAACCCAACATCTCCCCCTTGGTGATGACTCCAGGGCTGGCATGTACCTCGAGTCCATCAGCTGCAGGAGCCCTCCATTGGCCAGCAGAGAGAGAGGCTGCTCCCCGGAGGCCTAGCCCTCGCTCTGCTGTGTGAGCTTCGGCAGGTATTCATCTCTCTGAACAAGTTTCCTCACCTGAAAAATGGGGATGGTAGTGCTAGGCCTCCCACCGAACGGTTTTGGGAGTTACCCCAGACCATGGAGGCCTGGGCCCCCAGAACGGGCCCTGCCTGGAGGGGCCCTTGGTGGGGAAGGTCAGAGCGAGCACCCCCTCCACTCCTGGACCCCGTGCTCCCTGCCCTTTCCCCTCCCTGCCGCCCAGAGGGGCAGCTCCAGCCCTTTCTTCCTACAGCCCCTGTGCCTCAGTCCCGAATGCCTACTGAAGTCACCTGGGCTTCTGGCTCCCAGGCAGCCCCTGGAATCGGGGCCCCCTGTGCTCACCGCGTCTCAGACAGTGTGGCCGTCCAGGGCCTCAAACCGCCGCCCCCCACACCTGTACCCCGTCATGTGCTGGTGTGTATGAGCAGAGTCAAGGGGAGGAGCCCAGCAGGGTTGCGGCTGGGAACTTGCCCTTTATGGGGCTGTTACGTGGACAGAACAAAGTCAAGACATAACAGCGCTCTGTAACCTCTGTGCGCTGTGCCTGCCTCTGTTGGCGGTAATGCTGTATACGCAGGGGAGGGCTTGGGAAAATAGCTACTCTCGGGCGTAGCAGATAAGGGCCCAGAGATACAGGGACAATGAGTGACTGAGGATACAGAGAAGGTAAAGGAAGATCCCATGGCTGTGCCATCCTGGGCTTTCCTAAGCTGTAGAAGGACAGGCACAGCGTTTCTGCAGGGAGCCTAGAGAGAAGGCGTATAACACAGGCCCGGCGTGGGACATGGCCTGATGGGTGCCCAGTCTTGTCTGGCTCAGCCTGGCAGGCACCTGGTTAGTGGGAAGCCAGCGACCCCCGCAGCTGCCCCTCTGTTGCCGTGGCCAGGCAGCCCCCAGCTTGGCCCTCCTAGTGCACTGTCCAGGCCTCATGAGCAGTCCTGGAGGGAGGGTGTGGTGTGGTGTGGATGCTGTACCAGGCTTGGGGAGGCTGAGTGGCTTGCCCAAGGATGCACAGAGCTGGAGCAGTCACTGAGCCAGCATCTGAGTGACCGCAGGGCCCCTGGCTGCCTGCCTCCTCACATCCTCCTTTCCAGGTAGGGCCTCTGTCTCTTTTTGTGGAAGCCAGGGGCTGGTGGCCTCGCTAGCAGAAGTGCTGACCCTCAAGATGAACCCACAGAGGATGGTGACAGAAACTCCCACTTTGAGGCCAGTTTTTTTTTTTCCTGGTTGTTTTTTGTGTGTGTTTTTGTTTTGTATTTGAAGCCAATTTAAAGACGATGAAAGTCAGCCGTGTCACCATAGTAAAGGGCAGATTTTGTTGAGCAAGGAAGCTCTGGGTCCACGTGGCCTGGGTACCCTGGAAGCAACTGCTCTCATGGGTGCATTTAGGCACGAGCGGGAGACAGTAGGGAGGGTCGTGTGGGCCTGCGCAGCTGGACCAGAGTGTAGGGGACGTGCCACACGACCCTGGAGGCACGAAGCACACCCTTCGCGCCTTGCCAGCTCACAAAGGATGACCCGCGGCCTCTGTGTGTCGCTGGTTCTCGTGCTGCTGTTGCCACCCTTGCAGCCCTCCCCACGCCAGCCCCCAGAGGCGGGTCCCGTTATGGCCCACGTTTCACCAAAACAAAAGAGGTTAAAGAGATTACCAACTGGTCCAGCCAACGAGTGAGAGCTGAGCCAGGATTCCACTCCTGTCAATCTGGACCTCAGAGCCACACTGCTAAGCCAGGTCTGGCCCACCGCCCTGGGCACTCGCTTTCACTGCTGGCGATCGGTTCTCTCCATTTTGGTGAGTGGTTTTGTGAAGCGTGAGCCAAAAAGGCAACTTTACCTACTGAGCAGATTGCTAGGGTCTAATAAACATACTCAAGTGCCTGACATTTAGAATTGCCTCATCCTGTGACCATACTGAGGAGGTTACACAAATGTACTTCTCATTTTGGTCAGGAGGTTGAAAGCCACAGTGAAGGAGTGATCACTGGTATATTCCATTTCCTTGATAGAGCAGTGCCCTTTTGCAATTTTAACTTCCTATGCTCCGAGCCTATAAGTAATCACTTTTCGGTATATTCCAGGCATACCACATTAAAGTAGAAGGTACCTGGGGCGCCTGGGTGGCTCAGTTGGTTAAGCGACTGCCTTCGGCTCAGGG